GTAAGGTTATAAGTACCCTAGTTGGGGTTATAAGTATAGTTACCCTAATAATGACCCCAGTTACTAAGTCCCGTGATCCTTTGAGTAGGTTTGAGGCTTTAAGAGCTTGGCCTTAGGGGCTATGGACTTAGGGCTGAGTGGTGAGTTTTGATGGGGGACTGCGTTGTCGGGGTTGGGCCCACAACGTGTAATAGTGACTATAAGGATTATACTAGGGTCCTATTATATTCCTAATATACCACTATTACAGGGTGGGGGTTGGGGATTGAGGATGGCCGACTGCACCGGGTTTCGGGGTTTACGGGGTTGGGGTTCAGTGGTCAAGGGTTTAGGGTTTCGGGGCTTGAGGGGCTTATGGGTTTCGGGGCTTTACAGACATGGTTTCGGCATTTACGGTGTAGTTCAGTGTTTCGAAGTTCAGGGGTTGAGGGTTCAGGATTTTGGAGCTCAAGGGAAAGCCGGTCCTCTGGGTGGGTAGCCCAAAGTCGTTCCCCTCACCCTATGTATTTGATGTTTAGCGGAAGTTCCGGGTAAAGCGACTACGAAGTCCTTCGAAGCCACTGTGGCTATTTATGATCCTGCATGGTAGTTCATGTAATAACCTCCGCAAGTCCTCATGCCAGCGGGAAGAATCATGGAAGACCCATCCCATCCAAAAAGAACGAAATAAAGCATGAAGGAGAAGAGGGTTTAGGGACAGCGAGATTGCCCACAGAATTCAGAGCACCCGGAAATATGTTATCAGTCTCGTTGATGCAACTCAGACAGGGAGAGCACAAAAGCCGAAACAATAAACTAAACCCTAAACCCTAAACCTTAATCTAAACTAAACCCTAAACTAAACTAAACCCTAAACTAAACTTCACCCTAAACTTTAGTAAACCCTAAACTAAACTAGACCCTACATCTGAAAACCCAGAACCGACAACCGTAGGTCCGTAGATCCTCAACCCTCATCGGCCTCAAAAGTGGGATGAAGGTAGGTGGGGCACTCCCCAAAAAATGGAAGTCCTTACATAAGGGACCCTTATTCCTACCGACCTTCACAGCACCATTTGAGGTCTCCAAAACCCTAACCCCATAATTCCCTTTTCGTAACCCTTAGAAGGATCTTTTAAAGGAGCCCGAAATCCTAAACCCAAGCGTTCTTTTCAAGGGAACCCGAAATCCTAAACCCCTAAAGCCCCAAAACACCTCCAAATGATTGTCCAATCCCTCACAGAAGAGGCCCGCAAAGCGCTGTTGCACGAGCGGCCAAGCAGCTGGGCCTTGATAATACTGTTGATGGACAACATCCTGCATGACCCATTATAAGGAAGGTACCATAGTTCCCATAGTTTAGGGTCCTTAGGGTCATGCACGATTTTGTCCATCAGCAGTAGGAGTTGGGTTTCAGGGTTCGGGTTTTAGGGTTTGGGTTTTGGTTTAGGGTTTAGGATTTGAGTTTCGGGTTTCGGATTGGGTGCATTGGGGGTTTAGTAGCTTTGGGTTTGGGGTTTAGAGTTACTCCGCATCCTAAAGCCCAACTCCCTAAGTTGGCAGGCGAAGCTTAAGACCCAGTATGTTCAGGCTGGTCTCTCAGCCTAAGCGAAGTCCGACTTCGGGCAAAGGGCTGCCGAGCGAGAGAGAACGTGTATGCGTGCAAAAATCGAACAAGCCACAACAACTGCAATAGGTATGCACAAGACAGCTTGTGCGGATGTCAGCGAAATCAACAGGTACATGCGCGATGATCCGAAACCCCGTAGCAAGGCTAGCTCAACAGATACCGTGACCAGTGTCCAAGGGTTCGATGCCCCATGACCCGAAACCCTAAACCCCAAACCCTAAACCCCAAACCCTAAACCCGAAATTCTAAACCCTCAACCCGATATCCGAAATTCTAAACCTTCACCCCGAAACCCGACACCCACATGATCCTTTCCACCCAGGAAGAAAAAAGTCGTCGATCCGGCGATTAAGAAAAAGCGGGAGGAGGCCAGGCTCCACTGTGATGATCTTCTATCTGCTGGCATTGCTATACTTAGAGGATCATGGGACTTAGTAAGTAGGTTATAACTGGGGTTATAAGTCCCCTAAGTGGGGCTATCATAATTATAACCTACTTATAACCTTACTTACTAAGTCCCATGAGCCTTCAAGTAATAATTGCCTAAGAGTTCCTTCAAGGAACCTTTTAAAGCGGTCGATAAGGATCACTATAAGCGGTATTATAGGGTTTTACTACAGGGGCCTTAATAACTACCTCTGCCATTTTGGGGGCTCCTTACTATGTTTGGAGTATAACGGGCCCCAAAACCCTAATCTAATGATTCAGGCCCCTGTATTACTTGAAGCTTCAGCTGGAGTGCTAGGGTCATATTTGTCAGTGCCACCATCGTCGGTTTAGAGTTGCGAGCAAACATGCAGCCCTTGTGCCGCAAATTTGACCTACAAAGCGCCGAGACCTGCGATTGAAAGCTTAAATCCTAGAGTTTAACAAGGTGGAATGTTCACCCTTCTAAACCCTACATGTTGCCCTAAACCCTAAACCTTAACCCCTTAAACCCTAGATCCCACAATCCAAAGCCGACAGTCTTCCGGTTCAGGCTGCAAGAAAGCGAGCCGAAGCGGTCAAGAAGGCCTGTCTCATCTCGGGCCCGGGACAAATGGATTCCCCAGTATGTTTGCGGTAGACTGCCGAAAAAGCCTAGTCCAACCTCTACATCTGGGTTGGGGTGCAGGATTTTTGGAAACTGTGGGTCGAGGGTTTACGGGTTGAGTTGAGTTGCGAGGTTTGGGGACGCGCTCGTTCAGGAAATGGTACTTCCAGCTACGAGGCATAATCATAGAACATCATAGAACATCATGAGGATTGCGCCTTCTTTGAGATGACCTTGAAACACAGCTACTGACATGGTTACGGACACTTGAGACATTGAGCATGTCGTCGTATCCGTACAAGCCAGACAAAGCCTATAGTTAAAGTGATCGTTGCTTAATTGCTTGACCCTTCCCGAATTTCATTAAGTACACTCATGCGCTGCACCCCAACAGCCCAAACCCTGCTGCAGGGTTCCTTCTTAAGCCCTTCCGGCAGAAAGCTTTATACAGCTTTCTTGAACTGCTACGATACGAAACCATGGTAAACGCCTACAGCTTAAGCCAACCCCTAGCCTGATTCCTGGATCCTGGACCATGAGCTCCCGAAACCGCCCCTAGCCTAAAACCCTCGAAACCATCGGCCCGACGCTCTAAAATTCTCAACCTGGCTTGGGGTTTAACACTGCAAACCCTCTTGTAAAATCTTTGTAAGACCCTGGAAACCCCAACATCTGCAGTAATCCGTAACCTTCAAAGAACCGCAGCGGAACCCTGCCCAGAACCTTAAACCCTAAACCCCAAGCCCTGGAACCTGCACCCTAACCCCTAAACCTTGAAGCCTCAACCAGTATCCCGTAAAGCCCCTAAACCCTAAACCCTAGACCCTGAGCCCACACCCCTACAACCCTTAAAACCCTTAAACCACCCAAACGCCTAAACGCCTTAAAACCCTGAAAACACCCAAACCCCAAAAGCCCTAAAACCCTTAAAGCACCTAAACCCAAAAGCCCTAAATCTAGCCTAAATCCCTCAAAACACTTAAACCCCAAAACCCCTAAAACCCTTAAAAGCCCTAAACCCAAACCCTCGATCCGTAGCCACCGATCTCGACTCTATGAGGCAGCTGCGCAGAAGGCCGCCTTGAAGGCGACGAACTAAGTGCTCTGTAGGGCTCCCTTGGAGGGTTCCCTTAAAGGGCTCTATAAGGGATCTTACAGGGGGTCTATAAGGGATCTTACAGGGGTCCTTAAAAGGTTCCTGAAGGGAGTCTATACGGGATCTATAGTAGGGTTTTGATCTTCAAGTTGGTTAGTATCGGGGCCTTGTAGGGTTTTACGTTTAAGTTGGATAGCATCGGGGGCTTATATTGTAAGGTTTAGGGTGTAGGGTTCAGGGGTTTAGAGTTTAGGGTTCAGGGTTTACGGTCTAGGTTGCTTTGTAATTATGAGAGTCTAAATAATTAGAATAGGTTGGGTCGAGGGTTGAGGGGGTCCAGAGCCCACGGTTCAGGCTTTATGGTCTGGGGGTTTTCGGTTTTTGGGTGAGGCATGTAGGGTTTAGAGTTTTGGTGTTTGGGCCAAGGTTTTTGGGGTTCTGAGTGTGCAGATGGGCTTTGTGGTTTTGGGTTCTGGAGGCTAGAGTCGGTGTAGGGTTCCGCATGGAAGGTTTAGGGATAAGCACTTGGTTTTTGTCTGAAGCTTTATTTCCGGGCCGGGTGTACCATTGTAAAGTGGGAGCACAACCGTTTCAGGCTGTAAACAAGGCTCCTCCCCCAGAGACAGCTGAGGCCACAACACCTCACAGGGTACTTTTGTGCTACTTAAGGGAACATTCGACCTAGTATGTAGGGCTGTGTGTAAGTGTTCGTTAAATGCATTCGCAAAAAAGGTATGTGCAACCTTATTGTTGAATTTGTCGCTTCTCCAAGACTTCCTAGTATGAGAGCTACAGCATCCTAAACTCTCCACGCTAAACCCTAAAAGCTAAACGAAGTTTACTGCTTGGGTTTAGTTACGGTTTTGGCACAGGGTTTTAGGGATGTAGGGTTGGGGTTCAGGCTTTCAAGTGTACGATGTTTGCTTGACGTTGGGCAACACGTGTATTCGACAAGGTTTTGGGATTGGGATGGGCGTGGGATGTGGATATAGTTGCTGTCCCAGGATGGAGAAAAGCTCAACTTGAACATAAAAATCGAAAGATAGGACAAACCCTAGCCCTAAACCCTTAAACCCTACCTGTAGCCGAAACGAGCTCCTTTTCTAGGGTTCCTTATTATGGTTTCTCTCCATACAGTAGATCCTTAAAAGGTTGGTTTTTTTATGCCGCAGGTACACCCTAGAGCGCAGCCTGGAGACCTGAAGCCCTAGTCCCACGCGTAGTCAGTAGTCCTCAAGGCCACGAAAGCCGAAGCGCCGAAGGACGAAGTCGAGGAGCCGAAGGCAAAAGCGGCGCCAGCGCCGAAGGCGAAAGCGGCAGCAAAGCCCAAGGCGAAAGCCAAAGCGGCAGCGAAGCCAGAGGACGGTTTAGGGTTTCATGTTTGTAGGGCGTAGGGTGTAGGGTTCAGGGTTTAGTACAGGGCATGGAGTGCGGGTTGGAAACGGTTTGGGTTTAGGGTTCCAGGGTTTGTGGATATGGCACATATTGTTTACACCCCGTTGCGAGTTGGTCACGTCGGGTTCAATAGACTGGAAAGGTTACTAACACATTTCCCTGTAGTGCCCATATTTTGGAGGTTCCTTACTATAACTTTAGTATGATATACCCCAACACCCTATTCCAATTGTTAAGGATTCTATATCTTGTCCCGCTCTACATATATATATATACATATATATATATATATGTATATATGTATATATTGCGTTATATTTCTATACCACAGTAGATTCTGAATCCTGTTCCAAATTTTTTGCTGCCCCTCGGTGAGCAGCCCTTGCCTTAAACCCAGAGACTCCAATATCCTTTAATTCAGGAATATACTCGAAACTATAGCAGGGTCCCTTTTATGATTTAAGGCGTATTCGAATTAATGGACATTGTAGTCTCTGGAACCCGGCGATGCTCAGAGCTTGAGCCATCCAACACAAAACGCCGAACCGAACCCCAAAATCCGAACCAAAATCCTGAAGCCCTTGGTTTGGAGTTGATGCATTTGGGGTTTCGGGTTTTGTTTTTTTGGGGTTGAGGGTTTTGGTGTCCCGAGTTCAAGCTGTATTGTTCAGAGTGCAAGGCACTGGGACTTTCGGACCTCGAGTTAAGAGTCGGCTCATTCTCATTCCTCCATGTACGCGTGCACGTGCGTGCACGCATGATGATGATTCTCGACTCCAGCCGCATTTCCTGGTATTTGTGTATTTCAAGATTTCTGCTCAGGTTCAGTTTCCAGATGGTGGCAGCAGTGGCATGCACGATTTGGGGTCAGAATGAGACAGAACAGCAGTAACAGAACAGAGTTCCTCGTGTCGGAAAGCTCGTTTCGAAGTTCTTTCACCGCAAATACGTTATGCTAAGGCCATGTCTGCGAAGCCTCATTTCGCAACTCTTGCGTCAAGCATCGTGTTTTGAAGTACTTGCATCAGAAACATTGGACGGTCTTGAGTCACAAATGTCCTCCTGAAACTCTTGCGCTGGACACTGCTGTCGAGCATGTTCTGTGAAATAGTGACGGCAATGTCAATGGTCTTGAACAGTTCTTAGGGGTACTTAGAAATATTTTTGAATTTGTGGTTATTATAATCCCTAAGAAACAGCTAAAATTAAAGATTTTACTAGGGTTCTAAGTTCAGTAAAGAATTGCATTCAAGACAACCTTCCAAGGTACAGAGTGTTGGATGAAGTTCATGAGCAGACATTGGTTTCCAAAAAAATGCTTCCTTTCGAAAAGTTGTTTAAATTGCACTTTTTGACGCACCTTCTTCAACAAGTCTGTTTTTTGCGGAAATGCTGCAGCATTGCTTGAATTTCGATTGGAAATCCATTTGCTTTTCGCGTCTTTCGTAGTGAGCCGTCAACATATTTGATAGCGGTGCATTTCCTTTGTAAGCGGATAATCCATCGGGTTGAATAACGCTGACATTGGATCTACAAGTCAAGAGCAATCATCTTGAATGTGGTTCTGCGCTAGGTCCGCAGAGAAAGGGTTTACAATCTTGTTTCGAGCCGAGAGTTTCTAAGACACCTGTCCTGCAAAAAAAGCAGACTGCGTAAGCCTCACAAGCTGAAACTTTATGACACCCCATCCTTCAGTTCCGAGTCTGAATACCAGAAGTGTGAACACCTCTATGCCGTAAAACCTCCGAGCCGAACAGGTATACTGACTGTAGCAGGGCGGAAAGGGCCCGCACAGAAACAACAACACCCTCCGAACTCGGAAGCAACCCTAGATGCTCCAAGCCCTAAACCCTTAAACCCCTAAACCCTAAACTCTAAACCCTAAACTCTAAACCCTAACCCCTAAACCCCTAAACCCCTAAACCCCTAAACCCCTAAACCCTAAACCCAGCAGCCGGTAGCCCGAGCCACTGCTTGAAGGCCATTGCCGAAGAGGCACCTGAGTCGCCCAAGCCAAAAGCGGCAGCAAAGCCGAAGGCAAAAGCGAAAGCGAAAGCTGCAGCGAAGCCAAAGGCCAGGGTGTGGGGTTTGCGGGGTTTTGGGTTCAGGGGCTTGAAGTTTTGGGCACGATTCACGCTTCGCTGTTTGCCGGGGCCGGCTTTGAGGGTTTGGGGTTATTGGTTTCGGTGACGTCGGGTTTTACAGTAGGGAATAATTCGGAATAGTATCCCCTTGTAATCATTAAATGTACATATATATATATACATACATACATCTTTTCGTTTTATAACTAACCATCTGTTCCCTTAGCATGGGACTCCATAATCCGACAACCTCAAACGCAGAACCTGTCCTATGAATTCAGAAACTAGCTCGTGAACGAAGCAGAAAACACACGATGGACGCCATGAACCCTTCCTCACCCAGAGAGCCCAGCACGCTTAAATGAGGAACATTTTTGAAGTCATTATCATGTCCAGGCCTTCTGCTGAAGGCATTGGAGTTGTATCGGTCTCTTTAGTTGGAAGGCTGGGGAGGGCTGGCAGTGAATTTGGGGCTGGTGGGTCATTTGCATGGCACCATCATCGGACAAGACGGGTGTCAAATCAGTATGCAGGGTAGAACAGGTAGAACATGTGTGTATGCTATGTATAATGTGATGCCCACTGTTTCACTTTTTAAAAAACGACTGTCCATCTTTGTACGTATCTGTCTGTCTACCTACCTCTCTTTCTTAACTAAGAATCTATCTATCTCGCCCCGCTTATCTACCATATCTATCTTACTTTTCTTATTTATCTCGTTTATCTTATCCGTCTTTGCCATCTACTGTATCTTACCTACCATTGCCATCTAATCTGTCGTATTTATCTTATCTATCGTTACCATCAAGTCTGCCTTCTCTATCATGTCTGTCTCAATTATCTTAACTACCTTGTTTACCTTATCAGTCTGAAACGCCTAGTCTATCCAATCTGTCGAATCTATCTTTAATCTTGTCTACCTAACTTATCTATATAGTCCATCTAGCCTGTCTAATCTATCTAATCTGTCTAATCTACCTGTTTTACCTAATCTATCTCTTTCTAGTCTGTCTATTCTATTGTATCTCTCTATCTATCGCTCTATCTGTCTCTCTCTCTCTCTCTCTCCCCATCTATCTCTCAGTCTCTGTCTGTGTCTATCTCTATCTATGTCTATATCCGGATGTTTTTTCTATGTCTGCATCTTAATCTCTCTTTGTCTCTATCTTTATCTATTTGTCCATGCACGGGGACAAAGCCTTTGCTCAAGCCCTTTTGTAATGTTCCATCATGGCCCTGCTTCCTAAGCCGCCACGGGCCCTCCAATGAGCGGCACACCCCAAAGTAGATCAGATCCCGAAGCCGTCTAAACTTGGAACCTGAATTCTTGGAATCTGGGAACCGGCACAAGCCTTAGTGGGGAAGCGCTACAATCTGGACCCGAGACATGGAATCACTATGCATTGAGTTCAGGCCCCCCTTCACCTTAGTCTCCCAGCCCCAAAACGTGAATCGCAGCCCCTATTCCCTAACTCCTCCGCCCTAAGCCCGATACCCTAATCCCAAAACCTGCCCGAAGGCCGCCGCCAAGAAAGCCGATGCACCCCCAGCAGGCACGGCGACTGGAGGGTGCAAGGTATGGTTACAGAAATGGACACTCTGGTTCGGGCTTGAGGGTTTATGGTTTACGAGTTTAGGGTTACGGGTTTGGGAGTTTCAAAGTTAGTGTTTGGGGTTTGGGGGCTTGGTGTGTAGGGTTCAGCGCCCGTAGCCCCAAACTCTTGGGGTTACGATTCTGGGTTTCAGGGTTTGTGAAGGTTTTGCGATTTTGGGCTTTGTCAGGGCTGGGGTTTTTCTATGCTATGCCTAAACCCTAAACCCTGAACCCACTTAAAAACTAACCTCTGCTATCCTATACTTGCCTATACTTTTTGTCTTCGGGTCCAGAGACTGGGGGGGGTCTTTGGGGGTTTGGAAGCCCTCAGAGTTTGAGCCTGAAGCCAACCTACTATTGGGGCCTTAACACTTACCCAGGGTTCCCTTTAAAGGGATCCTTAAAAGGGCTCTATAAGGGATCTATAATCGGGGCCTATATGAGGGGTCTTAACAATTACCTTTACTATTTTGGGGGTGTCTCGGGCTTAGGAGCAAGAACGAGAGCTTACAGCAAAATGTCCTTAAACCCTGAGCCGATAAGCCCTAAACCCTAAACCCCTAAACACGTCTTTCAGATCCGAAGGTCCCAACCAACAGGCTCCTCCTAGTATAGGAATTCTAACTGTACATGCAGGTGGAAAAGAGCCCATAAAAAAACACCCTAAACACTGAATCCCTTAAACACTGAGCCCAAAACTAAACCCCGAGCCCTTGAACTCTGAACCCTAAGCCCAAAACCCGAACCTAAAGCCTGGGGCTGACGAGACGTGGAGCTGCCAACTGCCGAAGAGATCGCGGGGATGAAGGCAGAGAAGATCTGGCGTTTAGAAAGGAAGTAGAGTTTAAAGGGTTTAGAACGGGTTTAGGGCTTGAAGGAAATGGAGTTTAAAGGGGTTTAGAAAGGGTTTAGGGTTTAAAGGAATAGAGTTTAAAGGGCTTAGAAGGGTTTCGGGTTTAAAGGAATAGACTAGAAGCGGTTTAGGGGTTAAGGTTTCAAGTTAGAGTTTTGGGATGTTGGTGCTTGCGATGTGAGGTTGAGGGTTCTGGGTTTCGGATTCAGGGTTAGAAGGGGGGGTGAAGGAGTAGGCGGTTTGTTCGAGTTACAGTCATAGGGATAGAAACACACACACATACATCAGTATGTATAAGGATATAGATGAAGATACAGATATGGATATAGATATGTAACGTAAACGGCGGGCTTCAGCGCGGTAATTCGGACTACATCTGTGAGTAGAAGTTCCGTCTTTGTTTTTGGGGATGGCACGCAACTCCAATCCGAAAACCTTGCAACGGTTGATGATATAAATCCTGCATGACCCATGATAAGGAATATGCCGTAATCCCCATAGCTTAGGGTCCTTAAGGTAATGCAGGATTTATATCATCAACCGAAGAACCCCAGCCTTCAGCTCCTAACGCCCAGTACGTTTTCCTAAAGCCCAGTACGTTTCGACTCCCCACCCGAAGCCCCGACTCCCCAGAGACTCCAACAGCCATTAACCAAGGAATATGCCTCAAATTATGTTAGGGATCCCTATTATTTAAGGCATGGTCATTAAGTAAGATAATCAAGGGACAATGGAGTTCCTGAGTCCCAGACCCTAAGAACCTAAACCCACGACCTCTGAACCGGAGACTCCCAAAACCCGGGTTTAGGAACCCCAAACCCTGAACTTCATGACTCTCTCACGCCGTCTGCGCTCTGATGACCATCAGGCCCGTATGTTTGAAGCCCCCGGTGGAAAACCCTACAGAAGCAACTTTTCTGATGGTTAAGGGCGCTTAAATATGATACTGGCAGCAGCGGAGGTGCGTGAGCTCAAGGACGTGCTGCGGGCGGCCGGCATGAAGGTCAGTGGGCTCAAGGCCTGCTCTGGCTCTGCCATTCTCCTTTTTTCTCCATTTGTTTAGTCGTCTTGACTGTCTTCAAGGGTGAGAGCGTGGGAGCAGTGATGAACCACAGTACAGTAGTAGTTAAGATGATGCTTGCCTAGCTTTCTTGTTGTTAGTTGTCTGCTTCTAGGGTATGCCGTTGTTGTATAGAAGGCTTCTGGTGTTTAGGCTCGGTCTGGTGCCAGGGCTCTCGGGACTTTCTGGGGCGGGGCCTTGAGGGTTGCGGTCCGGATTAGGGTCGATTTTTCGAGCTTTAGGTTGAGACACTCGTTTCTTTGGTGCATGCATGCCAGTCGGTAGAAGTGATTGCCCGTCGGCGGTTTAGATTCTGCATCTTTTGTAAGACGGGCACCGCAACAGTCATGTCGGATCACTGTAACAGAGACTTTTGTGTAAGATGTTTTCTTTCGGGTATGCGTGTGTAGAAATTCTGTCGAAGCCCGGAACTCTGGCGCGGAACAAGCGGCAAAGGCCGAGCTGCAAGCGCGGCTCCTGGCAGCGATCGCCGAGAAATGAGGCGTCGATTCCTGAAGCCTCGCCCTTAATAGTTGGAATGGGGTTTCGGGGTATATTAGACTGTAGTTATAATAAGGAACCACCAAAATAATATAGGTAACCATTAAGGCCCTTCTATTAACCCTAAGCCCGAAAGTTTGACCCTCAAACGCTTGAGTTCTTCAGGGCTTGTCGGGCGGGTCCAACGTCTTGCTTTGATTGCGCAGAACCCTACTTCGCGAGCTGGTGGGTGTTCTGAGTGGGGCCTGAAGGATTAAGGGCGGGTTTGGTGGCATGCTGTAGGCTTCCTTGATCGTTGGCTGTAGCTCAGAAGATGGAAGTGCACTACTCCAGTTTATTGACACCCGAATGTTACTACAGTTTGCACAAGTCACCCACAACCCTCAGTTTTGAATCTAGTAGTTGTGCAAACCCCCCATTCAAAGTTAAGAGACCCGGCTACATCTTGAATCGTTAACGCTACATCCACAGCGAGACTTTCTACACGGAGACCAAATCTGGTCGCCTTCATCTCAATACCGCAAGCCACAACCCCTAGTTCCGAGCTCGTACTTGGAGCTTCAGGAGCGGTTATAAGCATGTAGCGGGACAGTTGCAAGGAGCGCGGCTCACCGCTAAATATGGACCAACCAACCATGTGGAGTTTTACCACATAGGTGAACTGCACCGAACAAGGGTGCTAGGGTAGCTGCTAGGGCTTGTGCCATATGACATGACCTCACTTTTCTTCGGGTTATGAAACACATTTGTTTTCATCATACTTATGTTGTTATTACTTAGTATTGTTATTATTGCCGGCCGAAGACAGAGCAGCCATCCTGCAGGAGACTGGCTGCTCCGTGGGCGTGCGCGGGCGCAGTCAGTGGGGCTCGCGATGCCTCACGGTCTGCGGACCGCCCTCCAGGCTGGTGGCGGCGAAAGAGATGGCGGAGCAACGCATCGCAGCCAGTGCAAAGCCCAGGGGCGGTGCTCCCCATGGGACCTGGTCGAAGGCGAAAGGCAAAGGCAAAGCTGGTGCAGCACCGGCAGCACCTGCAGCACCTGCAGCACCTGCAAAGGCAGGGCCGTTTGCCAGAACTGCGACGCCAGAAGTTGCAGCGCCAATGGCTTCTGCGCCGATGCCGATAGGCGATGAGTATCTGGACTTGCAGAGCTGACGGTTTGAGGCTTTAGGGCTTGGTTTTGAGTCAGAGAGTTCCTGCTTGAAAGGTGTAGGGCTGACAAACGTTAACCTAAACCTTGAACCCTAGACCCCCAACCCTGAACCTTCATACCGCAAACCCTAAACCCTAAACCCTAAACCCCAAACCCTAAACCATAAACACTAAACCCTAATCCCTAAAGCGTTCTCTTGTCTGGGAGGTGGCCCCTGGAGAGCCCGCAGAACGCGCGGAACGAGCCAGTACCTGCGCACTCGGCACGTGGGCCGAAGCTCCGAACTTGCGAACGCTAAGATAGCGAGGTTTAGGATTTAGGGTTGAGGGTTTAGGATTTAGGGTTGAGGGTTTAGGGTTTGGGTTTAGGGAGAGATTTAGGGTCTGTGGGTTCGGGTTTGGGTCTAAATGAAGACAGCTCTGAGATAAAGGTAATTCTGCGTGCTGAATTCTGAGTGGTCAGAAGCCTGTGAGTGCCCCACTAGAAGCTGATCAACAGGGAGTTTCTGAAAGCATCCATAGTGAACCCTAAAAACCCTAATGGCCCAATAGTTAATTCGGAGGAGAAGGATCTGTCTCACGCAACCCCATCTACTCCGCAACACCCCTGAGGCATGCTTTGTGTAAGATTCGAGATCCACTGAATGAGCAACAGTTCAGTTTTCTCTTGTGTGTGTGCTTGCATGAAATCTCTGAAAACTGTATGCCCTGCTTGTGGTACTTGCTGCCTTTTCCTACCGGAACTATTAGTCTGCAGAGGTTGTTGTTACCAACCCTGAGGCCGCCAAGCTTAAACCCCAAACAAAACCCTGGCTGATACTGTGAGAGTGGAGCCCATGTGCCTGAAATTCGCGTGCTGCAGTCTCTGGGACCTCGGTGGGCCTGTCTAGAAGCCCGAAGGCACTGGGCCCTGATGATGAACGTCACTAGGCCCATGATCTTGTATAAGGACCCTGAGGGGGGTAGGGGGGAGGGGGGGTAGGGGGCCTTGACACCTATAATAAGGACTTAATAGGCCTATTCAAGGAAGTATAGTCCCATGACTCTTTGGGGTCCCTGCCACTATCCTGATTGAGGGAGGGGTGTTTCATAATCAGGGTCGAGACTATGTGGGGGATCCGGGCTTAGCTCGCAAGTGGGTTATGGGTTGGGTTTCCTCGAGACTCAAACGCTTCGTTCCTCCAAACAGACCTGGAGAAGGCTAATCTTAATTGGCCCAAAGCATCCCTGTCGCCCTTAAATCGCCACGCGAAGCCATGAGTTCCATTCTATTTCTACTAATCCTACTGCTCCTCCTCCCGTTGCTCCTCCTTCTCCTCCTCCCGCTAGTAGTAGTAGTAGTAGTAGTAGTAGTAGTAGTAGTAGTAGTAGTAGTAGTAGTAGTAGTATGTGGATTTCGGAAACCCAAAGGGGCAGCACGCACCCTCGTTTTCCGTCCAAGCAGAAAGTCCAACGACCGTGACAGGTCGAACGTCCGCCCAGGACGGGCTGACGTTCGACCTGTCACGGTCGTTGGACTTTCTGCTTGGACGGAAAACGAGGGTGCGTGCTGCCCCTTTGGGTTTCCGAAATCCACAATTGGGGGCTGTTCTGGGAAACGGCCACCCAGGCGGCTGCTGCGCCGCAATCTTTTAACGTGGCCTCGAAGGCGCGCTTGTCGTGCGCCTTGAGGCCGTGGTCCTGTGTGGCACGGGGCTCTCTCCTTCGCTAGGCGACCATGAGCGCTGAGGTCGCAGGTCAGCCGGAAGGAGCCACGTTGCTGAGGTGCATCGAGGATGGGTCAGTGGAGTACCCGGAGAAGATGCCCTTTATGTACTGGCTCCGTTGGCGTAAGGAAACGGGGTCCCGTCCCACCAAGAAGAAGGACGGACGATCCACGACGCTAGCAGATGAACAGCGTCTGTGGAAGGAGACGATGGAATTCCTCTACGACAACTTCGATGCCGAAGAGGAAGAGGAAGAAGATGAAGAGGAAGATGAGGAAGCTCCAGCTGCGGAAGCGGGCCCGGGTGCTCAGGATGGCGATCCGGGCCCCAGCTCTGAAGAGCTTCTGCCGGAGGCCGGGGTACCGGCTCCGCGTCCTGCCGCTGCGCCGGCGGACGTGGCCGAGACGGCGCGCCGTGTTGGTGCGCTTGCTCTCTCGCCGGTGGCCGGCGGCCCGGCCCGTTCCGGGCCTCCCTCGTCTGCTGGGACGGGTGGTCCCGTCACGGCGGAGACCCTGCAGGCGGACCTGCGGGAGCTCTACCGTCCCGACCAGGAACCGGTCGCGGATTACCTGACGCGGGTTTCAAGGCTGGTTGTGGCCTTGAAGGCGCACCAGGCAGAGGTCACGGTGGAGGATCTTGAGAAGATCACTACCAAGGCCACCATCCTTGCCGAGGAATACGGCAAAATGGGAGGTGACTGGCACCCTGCCAGGATGGTGCGGGCCCTGCGCACCAGGTTTACCGTTGCCGCGGTTTCTCTTGGGTCGGAAGACCGAGAGGAGGTCGAGAAGGAGATCTCGTGCCTCGGCGAGCTGATCTTGGCCCTGGGAGGCAAGAGCAGCGGCGATCCCGAGAAGGTTTGGAGCACTCCTTCTTCTGTCCCGGCCCTGGCGGCCCGGACGGGCGCCGTTGCGGAGTCGGGCTCTAAGTCCGGAGCACCGGCGCCTCTCCCGGTGGACCTTCAGCTCGCGATCCCTGAGGATCCGCAACCTGGTCCGGGGGACTCACCCCTGAAGTCCCGCCTTGCGGCTCTGGAGATAGAGCTCGAAGGGCTTAAGAAGGATAAGCCCGGCGAGCCTCACTCCGCCAGCGGCGGAGCCGGAGAGCTCGCTGCAGCTTTGGCGGCCCAGACCGAGGCGCTCAAGGAGGCCTTGGCGTCTCGCGGAGGTCAGACGTCGATCACGACCGTGAAGACGGACCTCCAATGGCCCTCGCTCACCGACGATCGCTCCGACATCCGGGACGTGGTCCAGTTCTACGAAGAGTTCGAGGACGTCTGTGGCCTTGCCAACAACTGCAAGGGGATGAATTTCCGGGAGAAACTCATCGCCCTTCGTGCTCGCTGCCGCGGCTCGAGGCTTAAGACCTTTACTAACGTGTACAAGGCTGCCTCCAAGACCGGGGAAGTTACTGAGAATCCCCAAGCCGTTTACGAAAGGATCAAGCAGCGGCACCTTGTCTTCGGCGAGAGCCGAGAAGAGAAGGAGATGAGGGTGGACGCGGAGCACGTCGCCCTCACTAAGGGCCGTCTCACAGGGCACCAGTTCGAGCCCCTGTTTGAGGCCTCCATCGCGGAGCTGGAGAGTGTGGGTCTTGGCAAGACAGCGAGGGAGCTCTTCCTAAGCTACTTGCGCAAGATGCCTCCACATCTCCAGAAGGAGATCCGCGGTGATAAGCGGTTGTGGCCTAGCGACGGCGCATCCGCAGGGCTTCGAGGCCCTTCGACCTGGGAAGAAGCGCATAAGGTCGTCCTCGAATATGAGCAGCGTGAGGCTGCGCATCGGGTGACGGCTAATAGCGTGTACGCAGGTTCGACGGAAGACCCAGCCCTGTCCGCCGCGCGGAAGGAGGTCGAGAAGCTGAGGACGGAGCTCAAGGCTTCTAAGGCCGCGGCCAAGGCGGCCGCCTCTTCCACGCTTGCCGCTGGTCCGAAAGGAAATGGAAAAGGTAAGCCTATCTGTTTCCATTTCCGCGACCACGGGAACTGCCCAAAAGGGGACGCGTGCCCTTACTCGCACGACAAGGAGCTCCGCAAAAAGGCCCTCGCGGCCAAGAAGGAGCGGGACGCGTCCACCCTGGCGACAACGCCGGGGAAGGGCAAGGGCAAGGGCAAGGGTGGACCCGGAGGGCAGCCCAAAGG